AATAATGCAAGCAAGATGATGAGAGAGATGATTATTTATTCTCATTCTCGGACTAAGAACCTTTTTTCGGAAGTCTGATTAAAAATCCATGGGATTTCACATGGATTAAGAATAAGTTCTTATAATACAATGAATATATTGATAAAGCAGAGGGATAATTTTACAGTCATCTTGTGATACAAGAGAATAATGCAAGCAAGATGATAATAAAGATGCTTATTTATTCTAATTCATTATATGTGAACGCCAATCTATTCCAATTGAACTCAGCATAAACTCCCCTACGTACAAATCTGAAACTTTGTTTGATCGAAGTCCGTACAATCGAATGTGTCCAAACTCTAATCCCTGACCCAAATCGGTTGCATGTCCAACCACACTGCCAAGCATGGCGGAGATCAGCAGGGAACCATTCTTGACTGACATTTAGTCAACCAATTATAGAAATAAGGTAAAGACTACTACAACGGCAAACGAATACTGCTTCTTAGGGTTAGTCCAAAACAGAAAAAGAAAAGATTGTAACTTCATGTGGATTTCAGAAATATAACGGACGAGTCATACCATTTCGCACGCAAACCCTAATTGATGGCCGATTCCGACCAAGAACAGAAGCGAGAAATAAAAGGGACCCAGATCAAGAGAATCAAGAAAGAGGAGAATAAAGACGGGGTTACCTGCATGCAGGTCTCGTCCCAGTCATGGCCGAAGCGGATGACGACCAAGCGCTCCTCCTCTGCCAGGATCGCCTGATCCACCGCCCACCCTGAGTGCAGGTGCGGCAAAAGGTACGACATCTCTCTCTCTCTCGCTCGCTCGCTCTCTCTCTGCGAAAACAGAACAAAACGAGCAGAGCAAGCAGCATATAAATAAAATAATAATATTTTTAACTTTAGAATCATCTAGAAATAAGGGATCGCAGCCGTCAGATATATCAATCTTCTCCGAATTAATGGCTATGATCGTCCATTCAATCTCTCAAACGTATCATTCGCTTTCTTGCTAATTGACGCCACCAATTAATTCCTTTCGGGCCGCCAGATAGTCCAACGCTTCGGGGTCCACTTTAAATCCTCCAGTTACAATCCAGGTAGCAAAGAGAGGAAAACGATGAGATTGATGATGTTAATTTGTCACCGCCGGAGAGCTACGTGTCAATTTCTAATTGGATTTTAATTATTTTTACATATCAAATGCAGACAAAAATAGATAATATATTTTTAAAAATAATAATAATAATATAGAAGTCCCAAAATTTGCCTCTCTCATCGTCCTTCTCATCGATTCCTCTCCCTCCACCCTCTCATTGTCATAAGAAACTCCTCGCTTTCTAAGGATTCTCCCTTATAACATGAGTGTCCTCCCCAATATTCAATAATAATATCATAATCTAAGACTCTCCCTTATCACTACCATATGTCGATTACCTGCGTAGCTTTCTCCAGCGATGTAGAAGTCATGAGATTTGAACTGTGGGAACCTCTTGAACCAGTTGAGAAGAAATATGTAGGAGTCCTCAGCTACAAACAGTTGCATCGGACAAGAAGTAAGCAGACAGCAACAAGAAGTTGATCTGAACATTTCATTGCGTAGATCAGAGGTCGTATTAGTGTAAGAAAACCCCACGCCAACTGGGGACTCGAGGAATAGCAAATTGGCCTCCGCAATTAAGATTTGATGTTCTTAGGTTCCATTTTATGAGTGTCAGTGAAGAAGAAGCATTTGCCTTTGTCATGAATGCTCGTTGACTTGTGTATCAGAAAAGGTCCGAGCTCCTCTGCCGCTCCATACCCGATGGAAGAACAACCAGGCCCTGCGACCAGAAAGAATTCCAGGAGAATACAGAACACTGTAACTCCATTACAGAGCAAAGGCATACCTCCATTAAGCCAAAGGAGAAGCGGCTTCTTCTTGGGGGCGTGGGTGGCCTCGAAGAACCAGTAGAAGAGCCCCCGACCGTGGCTCTCGTTGACGGGCACGTAGCCGGCGTAGTGGCTGAAGTTGACAGGGGCTGGCCGGGGAGCCGGACCACCCGGTCGGCCTGCTGTTGCTTCGACGCTTTATAGTCCACTTCGTCTGTGTCGGCGAGAGCAAAAGAGCGGCACAAGATGAAGAAGAAAAGGAAGAAAGAAAACGATGAAGTTGCAATGCAGCGAAGAGAACGTTGGAGCGCGAAGAAGACCGAGTGAACTCTATTTGCTGCATGCGATAAGACCGGAGGAAGCAATACATAATTGATGGAAGATCCCGCGACGAGGGGAAGGCACGCAGAAGACGGCAGCACAACAGCAAAGTTGATTCCAATATATGAAAAGTGCATGGAAAGAGACACCCAAATCGATCCGCTCAATAAAGGACTGAAAAAGATCAAAAGACATCTCCTACTATAAAAAAAAAATCATGAATCACTTAAATTATTATAATTTATTCATATTTAAAATAATTTATATATTTATAAAAATATAGCATATAAGTTCCTTATATGAAGTATAAGTTAATAGACATTAGAAATTTAGTTATGTGATATGCTAACTCATAATAAATTATTTTATATAATAATATATATAATTTAAGTTTAAAAAAGATTTAAGGTTCATTTTAGCCCCTTGGATCATTTAAACCATTATGATTTACTCATATCTAAAATAGTTTGTACATTTTAAAAAATATAACATATAAGTTTCTCCCGTCAAGTCTGAGTTAACATACATTATAGTTTATTTACATGATATGCTGACTCACAATAAATTATTAATATAATGACATATGTAATTTTAGTTTAAAAAAAAAGTTAAGGTCCATCTTGTCGAGAAAGAGAAAGCGACGGAGGTCATAGTTACGGATAAAGATAAGAGAGGTCGGAGGCGAATATGAGGAAGAGGTGGTCCACCACATTGTATGCACATCGAGTGGGGTCGTAAGAGAGAACGGAGGGAGAGGCGATAGGGACGAAGATGCTCAGGAAGAGGAAGAGGGACAAGAATACCATTATGTACCTAACATTGGACTGGTTGATGCACATCTACCTGAGGCATGATCGAAAGCTCTTGAACTCATTGTCAGTGTCAGAGAGGTTACGTACGTGTGATGCCCTGCTAAGCAGCAGCGACTCGGTGTTATTGTTGGTGGTCGCTTCCACGATGACGCCTCATTTTGCCATTGATGAATGTTAATTTTTTTAAAACTCAAATTACACATGCAACTATATTAATGATTTATTATGAGTCAACATACCACGTAGTAAATTCTAATGTCTATTAACTCGGACTTGATATGAGGGGTTTATTTGTCACGTTTTTAAAAATGTGAGGGTTATTTTAGATACGAGAAAACTACAAGGACTTAAGAGATCCATGACCAAAATTATAAGGGTTAAAATGAATCTTAATTCTAAAAAATAAAAATTTATTTTAAAGTTATTTTTTGCGAGGAATTAGATGCAATATGAAATGATTTTTTTATAAAATAAAAATATATTTAACGTTATGACACCACAAATATGGTACCAAATTAGTTGGACTCACACATCATTCTCGCCCATTAATTAAGAAGTTTCATTAGTCGGATTTTGTCCAAATGGTTACGGAAGTTGGCTGTGTTTGGGTTATTAAAGTCAACACGTAGAATAAGTTGGTGCAACAAAACCCAAAACTCCACTACAAACTTACACTTTGTGAAATACGATGCATGGAATCCATAAGAAATCGATAACAATAGCTCCGAATTGAAATTCAACTAAAAATAGGAAGTCGATGCCATGCAAACTTCTAAATTATTCTTTTAATCCTCAAAATAATTTTTAACTGTGAAATCATCTTCCAACCCCCACCTCAACTATTTTGGGTGCTATCATTGATTTGGCGCACAAAAGGAAGTGGAGCAAATTCTCATGTTCGTTATCATCCTCCACCTAACTCCAAAGATTTCATAAGCTTGTCCGCATGGGTTCTTCATTAAAACAAAAAGGAAATGGTCTCTATCTGTGATAAAACACAATATGTTGCTTCACATGGCAGTTCAATTGCTGAAACATACAAGAAAGCCCTACTTTTTGACCTTGATGTTGATTCTCCAACCATCAACCAAAAGAAAGAACAATAATAACTCAAAACAAGTGACAATGGATTGCATACTCTTCTAATCATGGCTAATGGATGCTTTAGGTGAATAAAGTGACGATCTACATGTTGAGAAGAAGATAGTATACATGGTTGCTTAATCATCCAAGTAATTATCCAGTAGCGCAGGATGATCAACTTTGTTCATCATTCCTGAAGCTTTCTTTCTCGGTAGAGCAGCCAGTGTCACTCCTGTGACAGAAACAAGAGAAGAAGGCAGCCAAGGCAGGTGTGTTTGGCGACCATGCATCCTTAAGTCGCACCTAATTTCCACCCTCCACATCAGTCTCATCTCTCCGACCACCCTCACCTACCTCCATCCTCCACACTTGAGACCTCCTTCCCAGCTTCCCTTGCATCATGTACTAACCAAACCCAAGCATAAATCTGCTTAACATGAGACTGCCAAAGCTCCGCATGTTTGGCACTTTCTGCTCACCAAATCAAACAGCTCGTTACATCAAAACGAGACAGATTCTGTAAGAAATCTTCCCCCACCATGCAAAAGTTCTATATTAATGGCCGCTCTCTAACACTCCAACATCAGTTGTTGTCTCTCTCTCTCTCTCTCTCTCTTTCTCTTTTCTAAGCAGGTGGACACAATGAACTCCTGCAACGATACCACCATGTCGGACAGCCAAAGTGCTTCCCCTGGTATCAGTGGGTTCTTCTCGCTGTTGCCGGAGATCCAAACTTTTGAGCTGTTTCTGGCTGTGTCCATCTTCATAACCATTCACTCACTCAGGCAAGGGAAGCGTCAGGGCCTCGCGGTGTGGCCGGTGGTCGGCATGCTCCCGTCTCTGCTCCTCGGCATCCGCAACGACATGTACGAGTGGGTCACCGGCGTGCTCGAGCGGCAGGGGGGCACGTTCACTTTCCGTGGCCCGTGGTTCACCAACCTTCACTGCGTCGTGACGGCCGACCCCCGCAACCTCGAGCACCTCCTCAAGACCAAGTTCTCCATCTTCCCCAAGGGCGAGTACTTCCGCGGCACCGTGCGCGACTTCCTCGGCGACGGCATCTTCAGCGCCGACGACGAGACCTGGCGAAAGCAGCGCAAGACGGCGAGCCTGGAGTTCCACTCCGCCGAGTTCCGGGCCATGACCGCCCGGTCCCTCGTCGAGCTCGTCCACTCGAGGCTGCTCCCGGTGCTCGAGGCAGCCCACGACGGCCGCGCGCAGATCGACCTCCAGGACGTGCTCCTGAGGCTCACGTTCGACAACGTGTGCATGATCGCCTTCGGAATCGACCCGGGCTGCCTCCGTCCGGGCCAGCCGGAGATTCCGTTCGCCAAAGCCTTCGAGGATGCGACGGAGGCCACCATCATACGCTTCATCACGCCCACCGCCATCTGGAAAGCACTGCGCTACCTCGACCTCGGGAGCGAGAGATGGCTCAGGCGGTCGCTGAAGCGGGTCGACGAGTTCGCCTACGACGTCATAAGAACAAGGAAGAAGGAGCTATCGTTGGAGTCCGGCGACGAGAACAGTAGGGCGAGAACCGACCTCCTGACCGTGTTCACTAGGCTCAAAGACGAGGACGGGAAAGGCTTCTCCGACAAGTTTCTGAGAGACGTCTGCGTCAACTTCATACTCGCCGGCCGCGACACCTCGTCGGTGGCGTTGGCCTGGTTCTTCTATCTTCTCGACAAACACCCGGAAGTCGAGGAGAAGATTCTTGGGGAAATCAACACGATAGTGAAGGAAAGAGGATCAAGAAATGACGGCGAGGGAGCAGAGGGCGAAGAGCTAGTGTTCAGGCCAGAGGAGGTGAAGACGATGGAGTATCTGCAAGCGGCGCTGTCAGAAGCTCTCAGACTGTATCCTTCGGTGCCAGTGGACCACAAGGAGGTACGAAATGCAGATCAATTTGGCTCTTCGGTTTCTTCTCTCGCCTCATGATTCGATTGCGATCCCTCAGGTTGTGGAGGACGAAGTGTTCCCAGACGGCACGGCACTGAAGAAGGGAACCAAGGTCGTGTACGCCATCTTCTCCATGGGAAGGATGGAAAGCATATGGGGGAAGGACTGCAGGGACTACAAACCAGAGAGGTGGCTAAAGGACGGCCGCTTCATGAGCGAGTCCGCGTACAAGTTCACGGCCTTCAACGGCGGTCCGAGGCTGTGCCTGGGGAAGGACTTCGCGTACTACCAGATGAAGTTTGTGGCAGCTTCCATCCTCCGCCGCTACCATGTGAGGGTTGCAGAGGGCCACCCGGTGGCGCCCAAGATGGCGCTGACCATGTACATGAAGTATGGATTGAAGGTCACACTCTGCAGAAGGGACGAGATGTGAGCCCTGAGAAGAAGTAGCGACAAGGAACCCCCAAGGTTTTCATGGATCATAATAATAAACGTTGTCTAAAGCAGTAGTAGCGGAAGACGGTATGTTTCTTTATATTAGATTTTTCTTTGTTTTGTATTATGCATGGGAGAGTTGAGTGATGTATTATTAAGGTCATATACTTGATATAATCGAGTGTTTCATTTCCATCACCAATAAATAGATACTTTGGTATCTATTTAGCAAGTATCAAAAAAGAACAAAAAAAGAACAAATAATAATAATGATGATGATGATGATGATGACCAAAAAAGAATCGACAAGTATCCAACAGTATTCCGATCATATTATTCCACTGAACTACGTTGACCTGCAAAAACATCGACAATTCAGCCCTCGTTAGAGACAGCCTCGCCTTGTGTGGTGGTAAGTTCATCAACAAAATTCCGCACCTCTTTCATCAGTTTCTTGTTCGTTCTAGCGATCCAAACTTCAGTAGCTAATTCTATCTGAAACCCATCATCAACCCAATCTCTTTGGTGCCATCTGCATAGCGAGAACATATATACAACTTCAGAAGACCTCAAGTTGGTCCCATACTTGCTCATCTGCACTCAAACCAAGCTCCTTCTCCACCTTGTTCCACCCACCAACTAGATTCTCTGGGAACCGCTTCTTCACCTTATCAACCACTGCCTTTGCCTCTTCCAGCTTCGTTCCCTTTACCAATCCCTCCACTAGAAGCTTCATTGTGCGAAAACCTGGAACCTTATTCGACTTCAAGCTATCCTCGAACACCTCCAGCCCCGTGTCGACATCACCATTCTCACACAATCGAGACAGATAAATCTTGAACATAGTTGCGTTCGGCCTGCAACCCTTCTCCCTGAGTCCTCTATATACCGCTTTGGCCTCTTCAAACTGGCCCGCATTGCAATGACATGTGAGAAGATAAGTGTAGGTGATCGTATCAGGCTTAATTCCCGCAGCTTCGATCTCCCCGATCAGCTCAAGAACATCCTCCGGCTTTCCCTGTCCAGCCCGATGCATAACCCTCACATTGTAAGCTGTAAGATCGGGCGCACACCCATTCCCAACCATCTCCTTCCACAGCGCCTCAGCCTCATCCGACTTCCCTTTCTTGTAAAGGGAATCGAGGAGCGTGGTGTAGATCACGGTGGTCGGCTCCAGATGCTTTACAGTCACCATCTCTTTCAAGGTCTCGATGGCTTTGTCGGTCTTGCCGGTGAGGCAAAGAGCCTTGACGAGGACGCCGTAGGAGACAACATCGGGCGTGATGGCGTGCTTCTCAGAGAGCTCAGCGAATAAGCCTGGAACGCGGTTGGGCTTCTTGGCCCGGATGCAGGCGGAGAGGAAAGCGTTGAAGGAGACAAGGGAATGGGGGGCGGAGATAAGGACGGGGACCTCGTCGAAGGTGCGCAGCGCGTGGTCGAGCATGCCGGCCGTGCCATACGAGAGGATGACAGTGGCGACGTAGTGCTCGGTGAGGCCGGCGGCAGCGGACATGCGGTACTCGAGGAGGGCCTCAACGTCAGAGAATCGACGGGATCGGGCGAGGCGGCGGACGGTGAGCTCGAGGGCGTAGCGGGCGGAGGTGGAGTCGGCAACGGAAGATAGGATGGTGACAGCCCGATCGGGGTCGAACTCCTTCTGGAGGCGGGACTTGGCGACGGCGGCTGAGATCCCGGTGCGAGTTGCAGGAGCGGTGGTGGAGAGGCGGCGGGGGAGGCAGCCGAGGAGGGAGAGGTGACGACGCGCGGCGGAGAGATCGCCCATTCTACAACGTGACGGAAGACGGGTTTAGGGTTCTGATCCGGACTTAATGGAAGCCATTTTTGGATCCTTTAGGAGCTTCATAAGCCCAGCCCAGTGGACTGGATAATTTGTCGGCCCATCGAAGGAACGAAAAGATCGAGATCGTTACCTTAAGATTCGGATTTGCGTTGACTTGACCGGTGCCCTCTCGCTCAAGTCAACTCTCTCTTCCGTGTTCATCCATCGTAGAATCTACTAACTCCCCCGCTGGTCCAAGTCAACCGAGAGCTTGCGGATTAACTACCACGTAGTTTTCGTTCGTTCAGCCACTCTGTTGCCAGTGTCTCGGACAACACGAGATCTGGTTGACCGCTTCACCATGTGTTACGTTACCTGCGAAGACCTGCTGCAATGGCAAGCAAACAAAGTCATCGCTGTGTGTCATCAGAGATGCTGTGTGCTGACGCGAAGAACCATTGATACCGTTTCATCAGTAGCAATTATATCGAATAAAGAAAGAAAACGTAACGCATACTTGGTCAAGTACTTAAGGATTAGGTGTCAAACACATCTTAGAGACGCGTTTTAAGCCTTCTTATACAAATCGTATGATTCGATCGAGACAGCCAAGTGAAACGTGATTTCTGCATTGTCTTCGCTGGCGAACGGGTGATGAACCCGTTCGAAGTTGGGCAGCTGTGTCAAACCTACACCCGACGGATCGATTCTTTAATTCGGTCTGGTACGCCCCGACAGTCAGTGGAAATCGCTCGTCCGAGTGGGAACGGGTTGACCCGGTTCAGGACTCGAGATTTCAATATTGTATGACAGAGGTAACCTCATTATCCAGTGGACTCAGCGTTGACTCGACACCAGCGAACAAGATATCCATCCTGATATCCGACGTCGTCCTGGGTACGTATTCACCCCCACGCCTTCTTCTTCCCATTCTCTCCTCCTTTGTCTTCAAAATTACGAAGCTTTGCCATTCTAGTCTGCCTCGTCAATACGACCCATTCAAAGTCGAGGTGGCAACGACGTGGTACTGACGAGTCCCAGAGGGTCGTATCGTCAATAAAGCAATCCGCGGCCACCCATCGTTTTGCCTCTGCCTCCTCCTATAAACCCCACAGCATACCATCCCTTATCCCGAACAAGAATAAGATAGCCTAAGCTGTATGCGATATGTTTTCCTTAATTAGGCGTTATGAGTCACTCTTCCCATCGAAGCCGTCGTCACTGAAGCCCTCGGCCTCGTCGGCCACTCGCTCATTGGAGGAAGCCCTCCCCCTCTGCCTTCGCTCCCTACTCCCGATACCCGGAGACTCCCCGGGAGTCCCCCTGCGTTGGCTCCACCGCGCCGTCCGCATCCTCGCCCTCACTCTCGCCGCCACCGCTGCCCTCGTCTCCGACCGTTCCCTCCCCGGTGGCGTCGATTCCGATGCACTGACTGCCCACCTCGACGCCGGAGTTTCCTTCCTCGACGCCTGCAACGCTGCCTCCGCCGAGATCGCGCAATTGGAGCACCGGCTCCTCCCCCTACGCGTCGCGCTCCGCATCCTTCGCCCTGATGAGGTTGACGGTGACGAGAACGCCCTACGGCGGGCGCGCAGGGCGATCGCGGAGTGGGAGAGCACGCCGAGCGGCGAGATTGGGCGGTCGGCCGGGGAGCTGATCCGGAGAATGGCGCCGGATGAGCCGCCGCGCGGCAGCGCGTCGGCCGTGCGGAGGGTGACGTACGCGGTGGAGTCATTGTCGCGCCTGGTGATGGCGGCCGTGGTGGCGGTGCTCGGCGGCGGAGAGGGCAAGGCGCTGTTGGGCGAGATACGGGTCTCCGGCGAGTGGCCGTGGGCGGAGGCCTTCAACGAGGTGGCGGCGGCGGTGTCTGGGCGACTACGAGTGGCCCTACCCGGCGAGCTGGAGGCGGTGGAGTCGGCGGTGAGGAGGTTGGCGGGCGTGATCGACGACGAAACGGAGGAATTGGGGATGGCAGTCGAGGCGGTTGAGTTAACGACGGAGGAGTTGACGGTGGGTTTGGACGGTTTGACGGACGGCGTTAACGGAGCATTTCACGCCGCGATGGGAACCCGGACTGCCGCGTTGAAGAGCCTACGGTGTCGTCTGCGAGGGTGTTCATAAATCGATACACTCCTACTACATCAGGAATTCAAGGAAGCAATTGGCGCCATCTTCTCGAGGCACAAACAAAACTTACTATTGTGAATTTGTAGTTCAGTTATATGAATAAAATCAATAAATTTGTTGTCTGCTGTTTCATCAATGGAATAATTGTGTATGATTCGGACTAATTATAGGTTATTTTCGTATTTAGTTATTTTTAATATTTTCGATTTTTATATTTATAAAAATAAAATATTTAATTTATTATTTTAATTGTTTTTAAGCATATAAAATTATCGCTTTAATCTTTTTATGGATCATAATATTTCGTTTTCGTAAATATAGTAATCTCAATATAACTTTTAAAATTATAAGAATCGAAATATTAAAAGTAGTTAGTTATAAAAGGTAATATGCAATTAATTCCTATGATTTTTTAAAAGTTGATCATAATAAACAAGCGAGAATCAATGATCAAGATTGCTAGGCGTAGGGTAATCAATCACGAGATGAAGAGGGATGATCAACGGGATGAAGGGGTGATGGAGGGTGGTGACCGATAGGGAGAAAATGATAATTTATGAATAAAAAAATACTCTGCGAATTTTTTTTTAACTTGGGACACTCTACAGAAAAAAAAAAATAAATTAATTTTTTTTTCTTGAGAATTCACCCATAATTTAATCATTGTTTGATTTTTATTCAAAACATTATTGGATGCTTATAGTCTTTAAAAAATCTTATAATTAACAATAATTTTATTAAGAGTACTTCAGCAACCACATGGAAATGGTTAACAGTCGTAAGGGTAAATATGATATTCATGAACGTTTTTGAGGGTAGATATGAGCTGCCGAATAAATTACCGATGAATACAACAGTGCTCGGGCCCTAACTGGGACGATGTGGCTGATACACCCGTCACCATTTACCAACCCTCGGAGGTCTCTTCTGATTTGAGAGAGGTGTTCCCCCAAGCATTCCAATCGGAGGGAGAAAGGCAGCGATGACGGCCTTCGTGACGTTGGAAGACTCCCCAATGTTCAGAAAGCAGGTGGTTTTTCTTGAATCCTTTCTGTTCCCCCAAATGATACCTCGCTTTCTGCTATGTTTTTTCTTGAATTCAGTTTGGGAGATCTTGATCTGGTTCATGGAGGTCTGTAGCCAATCTGAGATAGAAAGATCTGAGCTTGGGCCCAGGAGAGTGCGATCCGGTTCATTTTACAGATAAAATTATCCGTAATTTTGGAAATTTGATGTAGGTACTTGGGAGAACCCTTATAGACAATTTCCATCAAGGGTCATAACTTTACGGCTGATTCCTATAAGGTTTGCTCTGCTGCTGTGAGACCCAATTGGAAGAGGGCATTGATTTAGGATCCGGAACCTGGGGTTAGCCTTGTGATGGAAAGAAAGTTGTGTTTGTATGTCGATATTTGCTTATAATCAACGATGGGGCCTCCTCATAATACATTGCAGGATACGTCTAACATGGACAATATACTGTGGACTGCTTGTGGTGCTAGAACATTCTAAAACTTGCAGAGATTTCGTTTTTGTATATCCAAGAAAGAAACTAGGAAGAAATTTTCTTCACAATGAAAAGACTCTTGCCTCTGAGGAATGAAAAGAACTAAGGTTTAGCTTATGGTAGGATTGCTCCTCTGTTGGCCGAGTACTTACAAAAACACTCTTCTTGCTTGCAGGGTCATGATTGCACACACTATGCCTACCTGGTGCCCTAGCCCGTTTTTTGTAAATAATTTGTTAAAACTAATTTTTTTAATGCTATTCATATATAATACTAGTTTGTTTATATTGTTTTTTAAATAATTTTTATTTTATACTGTTTTAGTTTTTTCATTTTTAATTTTATTATGTTATTATACTTTTGGATATCTGTGTACTCAAATTATAATTTTTATGCATATTTAATCATACTATATTTCATTAATATATTTCTTAGAAGTTTTTTGCTGATGTTGTTGAGTCCCTTTCAAGACCTTTGGCTTCTGTAGTGACCTTTATGAGGTTTTCAAGTCATTGTGTTGCCCTTGTTGTCTCAACTTCTGACACGAGAATATAAGAAAGGGGTTGGTACATTTGTACACACGAAAACACCTTTTTGGCTTTCTTGCAATGTAGTTGAAATTGCATTAGTTTATTGATAGTAGTTCTGTCTTTCTTGTTGGAATTTTGGGATGATTTTGGAGTATACTATCTATGTAAACTGAAGATTTATTTCTTCTTGTTAATCTTAAGATTTATTCATTGGAGCAAACGACTGATGAATTAAAAGATCGATGTCACAAGTTTCACAAAGGATGTAAGAGATTTATGTGAGTATGCTCTGTGCATATATTGAATTTATTAAAATTTTGATATAGTATTTTATATGTAATATCAACTTTCTTTGCAGACACTGATCTTGCCAAATGAATTAATATTTATCTACAGGGTATCACTTGGTGAAGCCTACTATGGTGACCTTTCCTTTGCAGACTCATTGGAAGCATTTGGGGCTGGACAAGATGATCCTGTTAGTGTAGCCATAGGAGGTTGTTTAGCTATGCTTCATTCAAGATGTCTAGCTTTATGTTGACCTATGCATTGTGTTTCTTTGGTTATTAACTTCACAATGATTATCCTGTATGTTTTACCTTGTTATGATTTGGCAGTTTGGCTATCTTATGTATTTAATGTTGTCCTAATCAATAAACGGAAAAAAAGTTATGATTAATCATAGGCTTTTTAGTTGTAGCTAGGCCATTGAATTTATGGAACTCGCTCAAAATTAAATATAAAAGCAAAATTAATATTAAGTTGCAACAACAAGAAGCTGGTTTTTCAGTTACTTGGGATACATATAGATAACTATCAAGATATGTAATAAGGAAGAAATTAAGTCATTGACTGTTCTGGAAATTTAGGCTGCTAGAAGATAAGCCAAGATACCAAAAGTGGAATAAGGAAATCTGCTCCTCATGATGTTCTTAGCCAATGGAAAAGGAAAAGAAAGGGAAAATAATACAATGTAAACAACATTAACAACAAAAGCCCTTATAGAGAACAGAATGACAACATTACCTGATGACTAATTCTGCTAAATACTGCGTCTTTTACTTGATGTGATATTATATGCTTTGTTTCTGAACTGTAGCTTGTAGTCCCTGTTATAATGTCATGTTCACTCACGCTAGTATGCCTTTTCTGGTAGGACCTGTAATGTCAAAATTCACTACTGCATTTAGGGAACTTGGGAGTTATAAGGAGCTTCTTCGCTCTCAGGTAATTGTCTTTGTACAGTTTTTCTTGTTTCTCATTCATCTATATGGCTCCAGCTTCAAACAACTACTTACAATAGCTTTGAAGGCTATTTTGTTACTTTAAAGTCGTAATACATTGGTAATCAGCAGAACTAATAAACATTCATTATTTTAAGATTTCTTGTCTTTAGTTAAATAACAGTTAATTCTTTCTATTAACTAATTTGGATTACCCCTGTTAACAGTGAAAAGACTCGATGTACCCTCAATTTATGTGGAGTTTGTTCCACATCCCAAATTATACTGTCATGAGTTATGACATCAGTTCTTTTCCAAGTTGATCAGTGAACGCATGGCCTTATTGTTGGCTTCTAAATTATGTTATATATTTTGGAATAATGGCTTTGAACCCTTACCATACTTCTTTTCAGAAAAAAACATCTCTTTTATTATTGCAGGCAGCTCAAGCACTGAGTTTTATCACCAGTTATATGCTACATTTAATTTTCTTTTTTGAAATAACTGTTTCATTGAGCTGGAAATTGTTTTGTATTTTCTTGTGCATGTTGTCAGAAGATTACTGTTAAAGGGCAAACTACATCAATCATTCTTCTTTTTTGTTTTGGTTGCTTAAATATCAGTGTGATGATCGCTAAAAAAGAGTATTTTATGTTCAGTGCCTTCTATTGAGTGCATGCAGTTTGTTTGATTGACCTAAGTAAATGAAGGGAACTTTTGTGGATTGAACTTCCTAAGTTGTCTCCGATTGGACATGTTTGGCTGTATATCTGAATCATGAGATCCTTTTTTGTGAATATGCAGGCAATCCGAATAATTTTGTTTCTCTTGCAAACAGGTAGAACATATGCTGAGTAACCGTCTGATGCAATTCATGAATGTGGATCTGCAAAATGTAAAGGTAATTCTTCTTTGATTGTGATACGTGGCCAAATGGATTAAAAAATATGTATGCCTGCCTCCAACTTGTACTTCATGCAGTTGGGTTCTTGGCACCAAAAATTTGTAATAACATAATGTGCCAAGAACCAAAACATAATGGGAATAAGCCTAAGCACCATAAGCATAACAGGTCAGCATATGGGAATAAGCCTTGATTCATTTTTTTCCTAGACAACATTTTATGGTTTGCAAGAAATCTGTTTGTCATACATAGAAAGAGAACATTATGGTTTATAGAAAATCTGTTGCATCATATTAGACAGAAACACATAATTTTAACACACATTGACCAATGATCGTATGGGCATAGGGAAGGCATAGCTTGCATATTATTATTGTTTCAGAGGAAACACATTAATGAAAATATTAGACGTTCTCTGATGGCTAATCATGGAATGTAGGACTGTCGCAGGCGATTTGACAAAGCTACAGCAGGGTATGATCAGGTTTGTGTTCTCACCCATTCTTTCACTTGACCATGTTTTACTTGCTTATTCTTGAAACTTGTGTAACTTCTATATTAATTCCATGTCCTTGTTTTCATCATTTTCATTTAAGTACAAATTTGGTCTTTTAACTATAACCTTTAAGGATGTCATGTGGTTTGTGTTAGGCACGTGAGAAATTTATGTCATTAAAAAAGGGCACACGAGTAGACATAGTTGCTGAATTAGAAGAGGCAAGTTTCCTATACGAATGTGGTTCTGGATACATGACTCTAAGATGAAATTTACTGACACCTTTTTTTCCCTTCTTCTTGACAGAATTTGCAGAACTCAAAGTCAGCTTTTGAAAGATGTCGGTTTAATCTAGTATGTATTATAATTTTTTCTTTTCTCCTGATACTAATGAAATCAGTTAGTTATTTCTTTTCCCAACTTGCTTACGTGGTTTTTTAAGAATCTCAGGTTAATGCTCTTGCAAATATTGAAGC